TTAAATCTTTGGTTGAACAGCCATTCAAAACTTCTCCAAAAAAACAAACAAACAAATAATTTAAAAAAAAAAAAAAGAAAAAAGCAATGCCATTAAAAATTAATTGCCATCACCATTCAGAAAAGTCAAAACTAGTTAAAGAAAAGCCTTTTCAAGATCTATTAGCTTCTCTGGTATAACCAGAATAAAACAGATCCGTAAAGAGTAAAGCCTAATCACAGTTGTATTTTGCAGCTCCGTAGACTTGAAAAACAAGTCAACAAACAGTAGAGCTTAACTTCACCCCCCTTCTTCTCACATGGCCAAAACTAGTCATTACTTTCTCCTAGCACTTCACAAGGCAACATGATGTTCCCAGCACAGCTTAGAACTCAGCAGGAGGCCCAATTGAAGTCCATTTGGTTAAAACGTGGCCACTTAACATCACTCAGCAACATCTGGTACTTCTGGCTTCTTTGCTGGCTACTAGTTTCCTCATGTCCACCTCCCCAGTTGTCTGCTCTCTCACTACCTCACTTTTTTTTTGTGATTAATTCTCAGCATAATTAATTCACTCTGTAATTAATTCTCAGCCCTTAGTCAGTTTTTTCCATAATGGATAACTATTTTTTTATCATTATTTATTCCCTGAATTTTCTAATGTACATCACAAAGGGTGATTCACCTAATTACAGGTTCTCTATGATATTGAACCCAATTGGTAGAATTTCTTTGCATGTTTATCACCTCCTATAACTGGCTATACAAATGCTCCACTGACAGTGTTATGGTTGTGCTATTTAGAAGGCCACATCAAGACTCCACCTGCTAACTGGTGTATGCATTATCATTCTCTGTATCACAATTTCTTTTGTCCTCCTGGCAGATCCTTTCAGTATGATTCTTTCCAACTCATCCCTTTTCTTTCTCTTTCTCTAAATCCTCTCAGCATCATAGTTAAGTACTGCTCTTCTGAAGTCTGTCCTCATCTCCATCTCTTTTCCCTCACTAGAAACTGGCCTGTCTCCAATGTTCTGGGGTTTGGTTTTCCTACTTATACTAAATCAACAAATGTCTCAAAGATTCAAAAACATATTTATGCACCTTTTACTGAAGTCCATATTGACATCACGTTGTTCTTGGTAGGACTTGAGTGAGAAAGCTAGACTAAAGCTATAATTTTTTTCTGTACGTGCTACATTACACCTCTGGATCATAAGGTAGACAGAACCACCCATATGGGAGATTACCATGTTAATCCCCAGTGATATTTAGTATCTTCAAAGCCTAGATGCTTTGGAAAGTACCCAGAAGATATACAGCATGTTATGTACCTGCCTGCAACTTAAACGCAAGTGCCATTCTATAGTGCGTGAGATTTTGGTGCTTTTCACAGTTAGAAAATCCATATCCTAAGACAGAAGCCCAGACAGAGTAAAAAAAGGAAAAGAAAAATAAAAACAAACCCAAAAAATAACAATAACAAAACTACACCACAAAAACCCCAAAACAACCAACTAACTGAGAATTTTAATTGACATCCTTGAATGTGTAGCACCTCAAAGGAAGGGCTGCTCAAAAGAAAGTTCTGTCCACTCCAGACTCTCTCCCAGTGAGTACTTTTTTGTTTAGGTACTCAAGGAATATTGGGTTTTCCACTGAATGTTTCACTAAAAAAAGAAAAGCAGCAGAAGCTATTGACAGCTGCCACCTTTTATATATTAGCATAGCTGTTTTGCCTCCACGCTTGCATAATAAGGGAGTTCAAACCTGTATCTTTCACATTCCAGTAGGGTTCCCTACCTACCCACATAAATTCTAGACTAGAGAGGTGTGGGAGGAAATTCTGTGGCCTTCCCAATTGCTGGGCCATGGTGCAGAAAAGAAGTGCAGACCTGTGAAGTCTGGAAAGATAGAATATAACATGGAGCCTGGAACTAATCTAGAAGTTAATTGTAACTCTAACCTTATAGGTGGAATGAAGAACTTTGATTTCAGTATGTATTTATATGATAACATTGTTGAATATTTAAGAACAGGAAAAAATATTTCTCAGAATGAGTTTTTGACACTATTGCAAATAAACAAGGCCCAGAGTCAAGATTTCCTCTTCTCAGAGAAAATCTTTAATCAGTAGCTTCTATATAAAAGATGGTCGCTCGGTCCTCCTGTAGATAGAAATAAGGCAGATATATTTATTAAGGGTACTAAAATCCTGTTGCTGTAAAATCTCTGCTAAGGCGGCACTAACTCGACATGGACTATGACCAAGTTATAAGCCCCTGAGAACCACAGGCAGATAGAATGGTTTGTGTTATGTAGTTCCAACCCCTCTGCCATGAGCAGGGACACCTTCCACTAGACCAAGTTGCTCAAAGCCCCATCCAACCTGGCCTTGGACACTTCCAGTGATGGGGTAGCCACAACTTCTCTGGTCAACCTGTTCCAATGTCTCACCACCCTCACAGTAAAGAATTTCTTTCTAATATCTAATCTAAACCTACCTTCTTCCAGGTTAAAGGTGTTCCCCCTTGTCCTATCCCCCTTCTATCCCTAGCCCTTGTAAGAAGTCCTTCTCCAGATTTCTTGTAGGACCCTTTCAGTAACTGGAAGGCTGCTCTAGGGTCTCTCCAGAGCCTTTTCTTCTCCAGGCTGAACAAGCCCAACTCTCTCAGCCTGTCTTCACAGGAGAGGTGCTCCAGTCCTCTGATCATCTTCAAGACCCTCCTCTGGAATTGCTCCAACAGGTCCACATCCTTCTAATGTGGTGGGTGCCAGAGCTGAACGCAGTACTCCAGGTCATGTCTCGCAAGAGGAGAGCAGAGGTGCAGAATCACCTCCTTGACCTCCTGGTCACACTCCTTTTGAAGCAGTCCAGGATACAAAGAGAGGGACATTTGCATTAAATGTGAAATTTCACAGCTAAAATGTCTTTGACCTGTTTCAAATCTGACTCTTAAGCTGCTTTACAGAACTTTTCCCATAGTACCTGAAAATCGAGGGTTAAATAACTGCTTTGTGTTTTAAAAAACACGAATCAAGTACAGCATTTTGATATAATATGCTTTAGCTCAATGAACTAAACCTGTCCATGCAAAGAGACGTTCAAATCATAATTTTATTCCTTGTCTTCTCATCCTTTATACTCTTCACTGGCACTCAGTCAACAAGCAGCATTCCCATAAAATGTATTTTTCAAAGATTACTGAGAACTTGAATCTGTTTAATCAGCTTGCTTCTACTCCTGCTGATGTGAAGTCTTTTAATTCCTTTCAGATCTTCATTTTTCACATGAGTGACAGGGCTAAATGCTAGGAAAACAAAATCAGCTTCTTCATACCCTCTTTCTTTCTTTACATGGAAAATAAAATTATAATACTTTTGCTAACCACTGAAGTTGAGAGGCAAAAATCTCTCCAGTTTACAGTAATAATAAGTAATACAAATCCTGTGCACTGTCTCTTCATACTCAACAGTTTCTCCAAGGGGCTATTTGAAAATTAAACCCTGAACTTGCTAAGTCAAAACCCAGTTGACCAGCACATTGGGGAATGTGGATTTCTTTGCCTTTTCTACAGTTCCTTGTCCAACTCTGGCTTGACTATTTCTGGCATCCACAGATATCTGTCTAGGTCTTGTCTCTGATCCTCTTTAAGAAATGAATTCCGGTAAGAGTACTAGGGCTCACACAGGGCATTCTCCTTTTTTGACCTTACTAAGAAAAAAAATCTAGAAGTGCTCCACTGGTCCTAAAATCAAATTGGTCATCTGGTAGAAGTCTGAAACTCTGCTCAAGAAACATTGTGTTATTCTTAATAGATAGTTGAAAGAAAGTATTATCACAAATCTGAATGAATGGTCGTAGAAGTGCAGTTTGTTTTATCAACTGCTGTAAGCAAACTGACCCACTGTCCTTCACTTAGTTTTATTCCAATGCCATTTCAAGTAACCACTTTCCAGGTAAGCAGCTTAACAGTTTAATGTTGTAACTCTTTTTACCCCTCTGAAATTAATAAAAACTCTCTAAATGTGGAGATAAATTATCAGAAAAGTGATATTAAACTACCTATTCAAAAAACCTCGAGGTTTGATTTTCTTTGATCTGTCTTGAATTTAAAATACACGACAGGCTCCTGATTTATTTGCTATCATGTTTTTCTGCCAAGCTTTTACCTCTATAATCATATTACTTAAAGTATTTATGAAGGCAGTGTTTGTTCCTCCTTTATTCAAAGTGTCAGACTGATGAGAGCTTTCAAATTATTTTTCAGCATGAAAATTTAAAATAAAGATATAGGACTAATTACAAAAATTCATCACTTAGGGCCATTAAAATGGCAAGAAACTACACCATTTGCATAGAGTTAGTTTGAAACTCTGCAAACTTCACTTACATGGCTTTTAAAAAGTACTTGTAACAAAAATGAATAAATAGACTAGCCAAAGTTCTTTATACTCACCATCCTTAATGATATATTTCAATAAAAATTTACTCAGGAACAAACAGGAGTGTCATGGCAGTTGAAACAAGAGTTTTAATGTAATTCAAACACCGCAGTATAAATAATGTCATTAGCATTTCTATGCATAAGCAAATAAGCTACTCTTCATTTTTCTTCCTGGATTTTACATGGCATTTCTGTACAGATCTATCTATCTGTCCTCTATGTATTTTTTTACATAAGCATATACTAAAATTCATCATGCTGCATGAGTTCTTGTCATTTAGAAATACAGAAGAGCTCTGTATTGGCCATTGTTGAGCTGGCTACAGATGTATCTAGTTTAAAAACCACAAATGAGTTACATATTCTAAAAGGTACAGTCATCATAAGCATGTTCTGGACAGCTGGCACTGAAATAGATTTTTAAAGGAAATTATTCAAAGGCCAGGTCCCAGAATCAGTATTGTATAGTGCTTGTCCACCAAAGAAATAATGGCAGCCAACCTGTGATTCCTCCAAAACTATAACCATAATTGTTTAAAAATTGTTATTCAAAAACTAAAACCTTTTTTCTAGATACAGTACCAGCAAAAGCACCTGAGCCTTCAAAAACTGAAAACTCAACTGAACCAGCTAAGACAACTCAACAGGAACAGCATCAGCAAAATGATGGGAAAGAGGATGCTAAGTGAGTAAATTCAGTTTAAAAAGTGGAGGGTTTTTTTCCCTGACATCCTGACTTAACATTTCTGTGTGCCGAATTTCAGCTCTTTAAAAGTCCCTCTTGTCCTGTAAGGTTCTGAAGAGCTGTATTTCAAATCTAAGGCAACCATATATGTGAGGTATTCATTTAGTATGGGCTGCTGATGATAGTTTCTAAATTGTAGGAATGAGGAAAAACATTTGCTCAACTACACTTACATACTAATTCTAACAATGCCGCTGCTCAGTTATTATTACTCTACCTTAACGAAGGAGAAAGTCCCAGGTTACTGCCCTGAATACCTGGAATGTTTGTCACATCATAATGACTTAAAAGCCTTTTCCCCTGCACATTTTTCTTTTTTTTTTTTTTTTGCTGAGCTATACCATTGAATCATCATGAGTCTCCACAACTGGAGGATTAAGACTGTCTCTTTCTGAGAAGAAATAAATAAATTAAACAGCTATGTTCTTTCAGGGGAAAATCAAGGGTCATTCAAGCTTTGAAAAAGCTTAAGTGACAGTTTTGCTAAAACAGAAATAAATATGAAGTCTAAAAACAATAATCTTGGAATCATCTACATTGATTTGCAGAAGCATAGATTCACAGAATCATAAAATCATTTGGGTTGGAAAGGACCTTTGAAGGTCATCTAGTCCAACCCCCCTGCACTGAGCAGGGACATCTTCAACTAGATCAGGTTGCTCAGAGCCCTGTCCAACCTGACCTTGAATGTTTCCAGGCATGGGGCATCTACCACCTCTCTGGGCAACCTGTTGCAGTGTTTCACCACTCTCAATCTGTTCGTTACCCAGCCTGTGTGGATACCAGGGGTTGTCCCAGCTCAGACACAGGCCCTTGCACTTGGCCTTGATGAACCTCGTGAGGTTCCTATCAGTCCACTGCTCAAGCTTGTCAAGGTCCCTCTAGATGGCATCCTGTCCCTCGTATGTGTCAACCGCACCACTCAGCTTGGTGTCATCTGCAAACCAGCTGAGAACGCACTTGATCCCACTGTCTGTGTCAGTGATGAAGATACTAAACAGCTTCATAGAACAACTAAGGTTGGAAGGCTGCTTCAGATGGAATGAGGTCCAAACTCCTGCTAAGAGCATTTGGTGGTTAGACCCAAATCTTAAACTAGATCAGGTTGCCCAGAACTTTGTTCAGTATAACTGTGAATGTATCTTCCCAAGAACGGCGTTTGCACAGTTTCTCTGGGCAATGTGGTCCACCATTTGACCACCCTTATTATGAAAATTATTACTTTAAATCTACTTAAATTTCCCTTTGCTCTAACTTACTTCTGCTGCCTCTCATCCTTTTTCTATGCACCACCAAGAACAGTCTGGATCCATGTTCTCTATAACCACTTACTGGGAGGTGGAACACTTTTCATTTCCAATCTGAACAAACCCAGCTTTCTCCGCATCTCCTCATATATCCCATGCTCTAGTCCCCAGTCATCTCAAATAGATAACTGCACCATGTGCTTAGTGCCTTTCATGTACAGGGAAGACTACAGCTGTATACTGATGCAACCTCATAAATGTTACACTGAAGGATATAACCACTCCCCCTCAATCAGCTGGCTATGTTTTTTTAAAGCATAGCATATAGGTAGCCTTCCTTACTGCAAGAATACACTGCAGATTTATGTTTAATATGTTGTCCACCAGGACCCCCAGATACTTTCATGCAAAGCTGTTTTCTAGTCAGTCATCTCCAAGCTGTTTACTCTTGCATGAGGGTTATTCCATTCCAGGCATAGAAACATGCATTTGCCTTTGCTAAGCTTCATTAATTTCCTACCAGTCTGTTCTTCCAACCTGTTGAGATCCTTTTGAGTGAAAAATAATGAATAGACTCAGGGTGAGAGTCCAGAGCAGCGTAGAAACACCTCCTGCTAGCTTTTGCCTTCTATTATTTTGATTATCCTGATGACAGAAAGCAAAAGACTTTCCCTGACATGGAGTTATTTAATTTATGGGAAAGATTATCTCTTTCCTCTTTTTCACCAAGGCAGACTTTGTACTGCACTGACAAGGAATAATCCAGCAAAATGTTACTGCATACCCCTCTATAAAGTAATAGATACAATTAAAAATAATTCTGACTAAAATGACTGGAAATTTTATAAATAATTCAGTAATCTGAATGTGAATCTGTAGGTCAACAATGAAAATCTAGACAATGCATTTCCTTTTTTGTCATTGTAGAACATGTTGTTAGATGCTTATAGTTCCACTGGGGTGGAACTATACTGGTAAACCAAGCAACCATGGTTAATATAATTACAATATGCTTGTGAAACAAACAAGTATTTTCTTTATTAGAAGAAGGCAAAATCTGTCTGTTAAAAGAAAATTAAAAATATTTATGTCAAACATTGTCTTCTCAAAGCTGTTCTGACTCACTTTCATGTGTGCATCCAGATACATCTTGTCAGTCTAATTTGAGCAACAGCTTCTAAAAATACAGTAAAACTTATTAAATTCTACTGTCAAAACAGTTACCCACTAAATACTGTAGTAGGGCTTGGAAGGTATGGTGGTGGTGTTATTGCACTGGTATGAAACCAAATTAAACAGATCTATTATACCACTTTCAAAACTGGAGGGAGAATAATTTTTAAAATGTGCCTTTGAGGGACTTTAATTCATTGTCCTTGAACATTCATGGGAGTCTATTCAGACACTGTCCTTGATCAAGGTCACTACCTTATTGAATTTATGCGTTCAAATTTACTCAGTTGATTTTTAAGGAAAAAAGCTATGTAAACATGTATGCATATGGAGAATTTGAGTCAAATAGATACATGTAGTCAACAAAATAGCAGTAAATGAAACATCCTCAAATCACTTTCTAGCACTGAGGCCAACTAGAATAATACACAATGCCTCCTGAAAAAGTGCTGGTTGTGAATTGCCTTTGTTCAATGTTAATTTCTGGGTATTTCCATACCTAGGAATTATTTGGAGAAGTGATAGTTTAACTAGTCAAAGCCATATCAAGGACTGTTTGTACAACTCAACAGGATAGTCAACTGAGAGTCCCATTGTCCAAGAGCTTTCTTTTCCTGTCACTGTTTAATCTACATTTAGATAATGTCCAAATGGAATTTAGTAACAAGTGGTGTCTCTTGGGGGCATTTTATTAGTGGTATAGACAGTGGGATTAAGTGCATCCTTAGCAAGTTTGCAAGCAACACCAAGCTGAGTGGAACAGTTAATTCACTGGAGGGAAGGGATGCAATACAGAGGGACCTTGACAGACTTGAGGAGTGTGTCCACATGAACCTCACGAGGTTCAAGAAGGCCAAGTGCAATCACCAGTATCTGTACAGGCTGGAGGATGAACAGATTGAGAGCAGCCCTGTGGAGGAGGACCTGGGGGTATTGGTGGATGAAAAATTAGCTATGAGCTGGCAATGTGTGCTTGCAACCCAGAAAGCTAATCATATCCTGGGCTGCGTTAAAAGAAGCAACAGCAGAAGGTCAAGGGAGGTGATGCTGCCCCTCTACTCTGTTTTCATGAAACCCCACCTGGAGTACTGAGTTCACCTCTGGGGCCCTCAACAGGTTGAGGGTCCATCCAGTGAGTCCAGTCAGGCCCATGGGCAGAGGGTATGGCTAGAACTCCCACTGGAGGCTACTCTGGGCAGCCGGTTGGTGTACTCATGGTCCTGGTACTGTATTTGAATTAGATAGACTATTTTCCTATGCTAATCATCCTCCAAGGATTTAAATGTAGTAACAAGTCACTTGATTTTCACAGTAAGAAACCATCAGTATGCCCATAGACTGTAAGATACATAATAAGGTAAGGTTCGTGGATATATATCTGTTCGCAACCCATATACATGCAGAGCACCTCAGTTATCATGGGAGGTATGTTAATAGAAAAAGTTTTGCCCTATCTTCTGCTTCTGTGACTTTTGGTTCTTCAAAATGCACATGGAGTAAAGAAGAGGGAGGAAGGCAGCTGTCCTGTTTGAAACAGCACACCTTTCATTTAGATGAAATTTTCAGGGGAAAGTAATGAGTTTCCATGTAAGGACTTTAATTTTAAAATCTTGGGTAATATTGCCTTATGAACTAATACTAATGTAATTAACTTATCTGAGATCAGTAAGACTACTTATATGTATGACAGTTTGCAAGATTGTGCACCAGCTGCGCCCTTCTTCCAGTTCAGCTACATTAGAGTAGATTCTTACTTATGGTACAGCACAGCCTGTATTACCTATATACAGAAAAAAAGGTTTTTGAACTTCCCTTGAAAGAACAGATCTGCTGTTTTTTCTCTTGCTAAGTGAAAGACAGCTTTGACAAAGACTGCATTTACTTCTGAAATTTCCATAGAAATTGTTTGTCCACAAGAAAAAAAATAAAAATCTTGCTTTCCCTCTCAGCACTTCTTCATTTTTAAAATACAGTAGTACATGGCAGTGGACATTAATAAACAGTAGAGAGACACAGCACTGGTCTCAGCCACCTGAATGCTACGTCTGAAAGAGGAGACACACAAGAACAGCTGATGTGCCAAGGCTCTGAATTACAGCTGAGTGACTGAAATTTTTAATGTCTGTTTCCTGATAGCTTAGACAGGATTGCAGGCAAGTCATACTTATCTGCCAATATATTGTTTCTCCCCTCCATCTCTCCATCTTTAATGATAGTGTATCAGAATGATAGGTAATTTTCATGAATAGCTGTTTGCTGAGCACTAATAACACCTGGGAGGGAGGGCTAAGACTACACTGTCTCTTCACAGCAAGAAATGAGGGAACAGAACAACACTCAGGACTTAATTTGCAGTCTAATAGAAGACAGTGAAGTCTTATTAACGAGGAACTAGCACAAAACATCATTGCAGCCTTTGTAATATATGGAGATTGCTTTCTGTTGGGGAGGGTTCATAAAAACATGTATGTGCACACACAATCCTGCACTTTTTTGGAAATGCAATGCAAGCATTTTGTATGAGATACTGCATAGCACTTAAGCAAATATGGCACGTTGCCAGGGAGTGCAAGGACCAGCCCCTGCGCCAGGGATGGGGAGCTGGCAATGTGGTGGACAGGGCAGGGGCTTCCGCAGCCTGGGCCCAACACAAGGCGAGCAGGGCAGACCCAGGAGTAGCAGCCAAGGCAAGCCTGTGGTGACAAGGCAGGTCCAGGGCCAAGCTGGGCAGGCAGTCAGCTAGTCAGCACCTGGTAAGGGGAACTGGTTTCAGCCGCAGCCCCAGGACAGCCAGGCAGGGTTGGGCTGTGCCAGGAATGATGCCAGCCTGCAGGCGTGGGGCAGGATCCATGGGGACCATGCCCTGCCGCTCAGTGGGAGCTGTAGTTGTGGAACAGGCGCTACTGAAAGGAAAGGTCTCCAGACCACCTTGCTCTGCAGAGGAATGTAGCCATTTGTACACGAGAGAAAATGACAACATGCTTTGTGAAGGCACTGTTTGGAATCCAAAATCTGACAAAAAAATTAAAAAGACATGATTTAAGTGATCATCAAGATCACATAGGAGAGACAAATGTGAGATCTATGTATGACTGAAGGCTGGGAACCAACAAAGAACCTGTGGCATGTGGTTCTGATGAAGTGGTGTAGAAGGTGCTCATGAAGAGGACTGTATTGGCACATAAGAGCAGAGGGGAGATAGATGCCTAAGGAACAAGTAGTAGTGGATGCCTCACACCAGAGATGAGATAAAGAAGATGCAGCAAGTCCTAGGGAAAAGTATGTAGAAATAGGAAAAAGCGTATGGAAGAATGGTAAGCAAAGCATCTGAGAGCATAGATGAAAGTGGAAGGACGCAAAGAGCTTCTATGACCTCTTCTCTCCTCTGTGTCTTTTCAAAGCCTTTAAGCCTGGCTGAAATTGTAAGAGTGTTTAATCTTCCCAGATTACCAAAGTGTTTACAATGTACTATTTATACTAAGGCAGTACTCTGAAACCTCAGCAAAGATCATGAACCCTACTCTGCAAGGCAGCAAATCCAAGAGTACATGAGGAAAAAATATTGTGGGTAACCAGGACTTCAAATGCTTTGAGATTACAACTCAAGATCTTTTTTACATATTCTGGGTCATATTTATAGGGGAACAAAAATTATACCTGATATGCCACCTTCAGAATCTTGATATTATGAGCAAAATATGTTCATGTAAAATATTTTAAATTAATTTTTTAGATTTTACAAAATACATTAACACTCCCAACCAGTAAACATATTCTTCTGATTGTGCTTTGTAAATGCAGAGAAACCCAGCTTTCAGCATTTTCAAAAAATGGGAGCTCCATTGTTGCAAACTGCCATATGAGCACAGGTGATTAAGGAAGATTGAGTTTTGTGCTTGTAGTTTGCCTTTTTCATAGCCACATCCAGGGACCTAATAGGCTATACCAGTCCTTCTCAGGCCCACAAAGACTTTTTTTTTTTCCTCTCTAATTTGGCTAACAGCAAAAAAAGATAACAAAACAAAGATCAAGAGGCAATTTGCTATGTGGTGCATAGCTGGGTTAATAAAGAGAACTCCCACTGGTAGCATGTTCTTAGTGAGTAATGCACTTCATTTAGCTCAATTACCTCAACCAAGAAAATTACCGTGCTTATTAGCACTTGCCATGCACTAGTTGCAGCATATTGGTTCACCAAGCAGATGCATCTTAGGGAAACCATGCTCTACCAAGACCAAAATCTCAGCACCCTGGTAAAACAGACCTAATATCAAGCCTCTGCAGAAACTCCAGAAGTCCTTTATCACTGTAGGAACACCAGGGACACTAAAAGATGACACTCATGGCACTAAACTCCGACCTACTTGAGCTAATGTAAAGCAAGGCCAACACTGGGCGCTTCTGAAAAATCCCAGTTTAAACAATGTTACAAGCATATTTTGTAGAGAGGCTAATACCATTCCTTAGTTGTTTCCAGATAATCACTGCAGTACTTGAAATTGTAAACATCCAGTACATTTTGTAAGCCTGACTGAAAAGACATTAACGTATTAAAAAATCAAAATACTTTTCTTAGCACTGATATTCCTGCTGCTTAGATCTTTCTTTCAGACCTTGTCACTTTTAGTACCTGGATTTGAATTTATGCAATGGATAAATTAAGAACCTGCAAATTAAATAGAAAGGGGATGGTGTGCTGCCTGTACCAAAACAGATTAAACTTATTGTAATCATTGCTGAGATGTATTTTCCTCCAGCCTTTAAATTCTATCCATCCTGCAGGATGCAGTTACCTATTCTATTTAATGCCATTCACTATGCACAACAATCAAGTAGATACCCTGAAGTTAAAAAGGGAGCAGATTCAGAAGTTTTTCCTTGAAGAATAAATAAAGGGGTAGGAATATCATTATACAGACCGAAATGCTGGGGGTTTTTTTGGGTTGTTTTTTTTTTTTTTTACTTGCATTATTTGAAATTATCTATTCATTATATTAATATATATTTATTTTTGAGTGTATAAATGGGAGAAATTCTTTTTTTTAGTATATGCAAGGAAACAAGGGTATAGTTTGTCACAGCATTTTCCATAAATCCCCCATTGACCTTATATTTTTCAGAGTAAGAAGATACCTTTTTTTGTGATGGAAGAAATTATAATTTATTAAAAACATTATCTGTGCTATTATCTTTTGAGTCAATTGTGTAGAAAAAAACAAAGCAATGAGTGTAGCAAATGGTACACTGGTGTGTAATATAAAATATTTAATTTTAAATTACATTTATATTTGGTATAAATTACATTTATACCAAACATTTGTAAGTACATCAGGGTCTTCCATGAGAGATCTGAGAGACATAACAGCTATAATCATTTAGTAAAGAAAAACCGATTAACGCTTCATGGCAAATGTAAGTATCCATGCCTATAATCAAGCTTGCCCAATGCTTTTTATTTAAACACCATGTCTCAGGTCACTTACTAATTTTCCAAATATTAGCTATTTTAGATGAAAACTTTCCATGTTGTGCAGCACAACAAAGGAAATGCTGACAGGTAAAGATATGAGGATGAGATGGGAAGTCAAATCGGTCTGGCAGCACAGTCTTAGTCAGTGCCAGATAAATGATACTCGGGAGAAGTGCGATGATGTGTTTTCTGCAGGGAACATGCCTACTTTTGCTGAATTTGGAAAAGAATGTGGCAGGAGTCTGCAGAAGGGGAAAGAATGGTCTTAGGTAGTGGTAATTAGAAGTCATTTCAGAGGAATGGGTTCTTTCTATCTCTCACCAAATTCCTTTGTGATAAATTCCTTTGTGGGAAGGCTACATGAAGTAAGTTCCTACACAGGTGGCTGTATAGTGGTTTACCACTAACAAAGGTAGAAATGCAACAGACTCATCTGCACCAAACAAATTTTGTATAATTAGCATAGGCAAGAATAGTACATGGCATGAAGTT